AAAAGTTTATCTTTAAAAATTTTCCACATCTGATCAGTATCTCCAAATAACTCAGCTGCCCAATTCACAACATACGATTCTTGTTGCATCGCTTCAAAATTTGCTTTTTTAAAAATTTGTAACCAAAATATTATTATTCCTTATCTCCATATGTAGCAAAACATCAAACCTAATAAAGCAATGATCACTTGCACCCAGATGTTCCCCAATTTCTACCCTTTCAACAATTTATGTATTAGAAGTCAACAATAAACCTAAGATAACATTGTTTATAGTAGGTTCCTTGATTAATTGGTGAAGTATACATCGTGAAATTTCCAAAAACCTTTTACCATCACAGTTTGACTCTAGCTTTTCCGATCTATATGCCTAAAATTAAGATCACCCATAATTATGACTTCATTAACAGTTGAAATCTTAGTCTCACTAAAGTTTCTCATTTATTTCATTAGTATCACGTAGTGGTTTGTAATAAATTCTCACTAAAAGCCTTTTCCCTTTATATCTGCTAATAGAAACCCAAAAGGATTCAACCTCCTTGCTATTATCTTTCATATCCTCAAGTTCAACAGGATGCAACTCACATTTTACATATAAAACCACTCCTTCCCCTCTCTTTAGTAATCTATCCCTATTAAATAACCTATAACAATGTATTTCAAAGAAATATCAGTCATCAAAATCATCAACATTTAACCATGTTTCAGTTATTCCCATCATATCAAAATCCTCCATCCCTACCAGTGTGTTAAGGTCATCTATTTTATTTCTTATATTTCTAGTTTTACAATAGTAACAATTAAGCCTATCCTTAGAACTACTTCTGTTTTTATTTCCTATGCTAAAATTTATCTATATTTTTGTTCTTGCATTTAGTTTATCCTGGCCCTTACCACTTTTTAATCCTAGTTTAAAACTCCCCTTTCAGCTACAAACAAGCCAGACCCTACCCTATTTAAATGTAAACCATCCATTTCAAAAAACTCCCTTTTCCCATTGAACTGATTCCACAAGTCCAACTAGCCTATCTGCTCATCCTTACATATAAACCTAAGCCTAGCATTTAGCTCTAGTGACCTACTCATAATTTTATCCCACAATTAATTCTCAGTAATATACCTGACACAATTAAGTTATGGCCTTTATCAATCCCTTGTACTTATTAATTAGCTTCTTTGACCTACCTTTCCCTATATCATTAACCTCCCATGTACACAACAAAAACTGCATTATTGCTTGCCCTCTTTATTATATCTCTTGCTCTGTTAGTTATATCCTCCACCTGTGTTCCTGGCTGTAGCATTATCTAATTCTTTTCTCCCTATTTACCCCACAGACTATCCTATCCACATGCCTTGTCAAGGAATTACCTCTCACTAAACCTTCTAAAACTAGTTTATCTTCCACATCCTTCTCTGACCCTTTTGCTTTCCTTCCCTCCAAATCCAACAGTTTCTCATCTGCACAAACCAAGGTCTGAAATCTGTTGCTCAATAGAATAAGCTCATAACAAATAAATCCTCTACTTTTAGTTTTAACCCTAATGGTCCTCTTTCTAACTTCCTGAAACTGAAAGTCATTGTCAGCTTATGTATCCCTTGCATATAAAACTAAACACTTAAGCTCCTCTGAATATCACAACCTGAACTATCATCCTACTACTCGTGTGATATTGAAGAGTCAGAGAGGTATATCACAAACGTAACTGTAATCTTACCACTCGTGATATTGAACTGAAGTTGAAATCCTGCTTTCATTTCCCACAGTTTACCCTTCTCTTCTATCTATTGCCTCTACTTTAATTAGGATAGCCTCCAACTGCTCCTCCAACCTATAATTTATAAACTCTACATAAAAATTGCACATCTTCACTACTATCAGTAGTGGCACTAGTACTATCTTCCTTAAAAATATATGCTACTACTAGTCCCGAGGTCCCAAATAAAATACTAATTGCACCCATCACACCAAACAAACTGTGAACGCTTAACTCTAAAAACTAGTCTTAACTATGCTAGGTACTTATTTTACAAGTTCACATATCCCGAAAACAATATAAAAAAAAACTTCTATACTGATATTTTACTTTTATAAAATAAAATTAAAAAGTAACAGTTTTACACACAATATTTCATTTTGAATTTGTAATGCTATTAATAGTAATAGTAATACAGTATAATACTAGTAACACTAACAGTAACAATGTACCTTGTGTGAGATTAGGCTTAGGAATAGGAGTTAAAATAATTTAACCATTATTATAGTATTCTAACTTTAAAATGCCATAATATTTGTTTTCAAAACATATAAACATTGAAAATGTATTTACATCAATTATTCAATTTAATTAGACATAACTTACAATACAGTGTTGGTAATACTAATAGTAGCACTATCTCAGTAACTGTAAATGTAACAATAATTCGTAACGATACAGGTATCAGTAGTTCCTAGGGCTAACGAGCTTTGTGACGCCCTATCTTGGAGAATTGGATAAGTTATCATATATTTTCTTTAAAAAATTGTGAAACGATAACAAAGTATTGGAATCAAACTTGATGAATAGAATAAGCAGTAATACGAAACAATCGCATAATGTTTTACAAAATTCCTATAAAATTAATATATTACGCAACAAAAAATTAGCTTAAGATGAAAAGAAAGGGAGAAAACTTAAAAAAACAAACAGCATCCATTCCATTTGTTGTTAGGTGAGGAAATCCATTGTGACTTTCAATAAAAGTCCAAATGTACATCTTTTGAGTGGAGTTTTTTATATTTATTTTTAAACTTTATTCCAATGTTTCGACCACTCATGTGGCCATCATATCAGGTAACTGTCGTCTACGGTGATGGCCATACGAGTGGTCGAAACTTGTCACAATGTTTAAAAAAAAAACGAATAATTCACTCAAAAGCTGTACCTCTGGACTTTAATCCATTCTATCTATGGCACTTCCAGCGTACACATTTTGGCGAAAGCCCCTCCCCCTCACCAGTGATTCAGCATTATATATGCAGGCTTACTACTGTTTTGATATCCATGGTGAACAGAGCATGCTGGTGTTTCAGTTTTGATTATGAAGCAGCAGTCATTCTTCTCTTTCTTTCTTCCGTGGTGTTTGTATCTCTCAAAGAGACCTTAGCTCCAGGAAGGTTTAGTTTGGTTTGGGGATGTAGTGTCAAGCCAAAAGTGCACACACTTCTGATATTGTCAATGTCTTGAAATAGGACAACATTGAAGGGATTGGTTTCCTTCCAACAACTGTTGCTCTGCATTGAGTGCAAGCACTGGAGGTATGACTTCTACCAGTGTAACGGTGGTTGGAGGTATGGGCGTGTCTTCTGTAGTGTCTGGCAATAACTGGGTTTTGGGGGATGCTGCTCTCCTCTACTTGAGGTGATTCAGCTTCCAGAGATTTTAAGGTAAGCCTGACTACTGACTCGGCAAAATCCTCGATGCCAGATCTGTGTGCCAACAATGCCTTCTGACTGGTCTAAAGATCAGCTAGCTGTGTGGGTTAAAGGGATTTGTAACCAGATAGTTAAAACCATTACTTGGTCCTAAAACTGGATTTAGAAGCTGAGTAATCCTTGAGACACCTTAGTCAAACCACACTTCTATGGTGTTCACATGTGCATCATGTAGTATACACCCAGAGAACGTGTATCCCATGGTGCCCATGAAAGGATTGATCCAAAGTGTATCACTAGGACCATGTTTGTCCAATACCCAACTAGCTGTGAGGTTCTATTGTTATTTGAACAGTAAAGAGCAGTATGTTCTCAGAAAAGCAGGTCCTACACATGCACAGTGACCCAGTTCAGGTAAAACTTATTCTTAATTTTGCCTTTAGAAACAACAACCTCTCCTTTGTCTTTCCTTTTGGGATCTTCCCTCAATTACAAGTTTAGTACTAGCAACGGTGTTTTTTGTTGTTTTTTTTAAAGTTTCACCCCAGGGATGCTATTTTTTCGTTCTCCCTTAGTATTACTACAGCATGCATTTTAGTATCATGGCTGCTCCTTGTGCTGAAACAATGTTACAAAAATGTTACAATGGCACAGCGGTGTGTCTACAGACTTACAACGCTAGAAACCGGGTTTCCATACTCGTGGTTGGCAGAGCACAGATAGCCCTTGGTGTAGTTTTGTGCTTAACTACAAACAAATCTTCAAAAATTCAGTCTGCATAATTAGAAATATTTTATCCCACCCAAATAAAACATTGGTTACATCAAGTTCATATTTGTTATGATATTTAAGTTACTGCTTGTAAGTTCCATGTATTTTAGATAATTTCACCTACTCAGATATTCTGATTCTAAACAAATGAAATATCCCACCTTATTCTTACTGGAAAACCACAGATAAAACTGTGTTTTCCCTCATATGTAGTATTGCGCTACTAATAAAACTGCGGATGAAATTGCATTTTCTCTCGAAAGAAGCATGAGTCTCATTGTTACTTTTATCTTTCCATGAATATTCACTTCCTACCAAAGTTTCATTTTCGAAACTGAAACATTCTCCCTCAAGTAATAATTAAAATAACAAAAATTTTCAAAGGCCAGTCATTGTGTTAACTGCATATGGCAAAGTCTCAACACTGGAATCACATTCTTTACTTCCTTTCGCTAATAGCTAAATAATTGTGTTTCTCATTTAATTGATTTATTCATGCTATACAACTTTCATGAGTGCTTCCTGTAATATTCCTACATGTGTGGGATCAAGTGTATTTAATTAGACATGTATATTACCATATAAATTTACCTCCATTACAATGTTACACATACACTAATGGCTTTTAAACAGATAGCCTCCATCTTCTCACTCAACTCACATCATAACCATCTTGGGTTATTTTCCAGAGCTACAGTTTGTAGCTTGGTTGGGTTAGATGCTACTACCTTCAAGCCATTTTTCTTTTCAGGTTCTCGTGAAATAAACAATCACAGATTGAACTCAGCTGAACTAAGTCTTTTCATTTAAAATTATCGTAAGTAAAATTAATTATTCACTCTGTCACTATAATATATATCAAAATAAAAACACAACTCTATCGTTACTTATGGGGAACCTCTTTTAGCCTCAAAAAGTAATAAGCAAAGACTCTAGTGACATTTCTGTAGAGCACTCACTACTCTATTACAGTAAGATAGTGATTCTTGTGAAACATCAGATGTTTTGTCCCAGAGAAAATCACTCAATAACCTAAAAAGCAAAGGTCTCCAAGTATTTCAGCTATATTTTCGAATACTCAACTCTCATATTCATTTGTGCAAACGTTCACTGCATTAGACATTATATCAACTCGCACCAGAAACCCTAACTGTATTAAAAGAGCTGTAGTTGAAAAATGTAGTCCATATATTCTGCTACGTATTATTACCTAATACCTCAGGAACTAAACAGCACTACTTCCTATAAATTATTAATTACTCAAATTAATGATTGTCTTAACTGTTGATAATCAAGTAGAAAGTGTATTCATTGCTCAGTAAACATCACTTGATAGCTTGGAAGGCAAAGTTTGTCAACTTTCTACAGTCACTGGGTTCTTGACCTATTGGTGCTGAGTATTGCCACTGGATCAAACCTTTATTCATCTGACTCACTGTGAACAACCAGATAAGTGCCCTTAGCTCTTACCACCTTATCTTCATTGTTGTAGGGGGATAACGCAGAGTTCTCATCGTTATCTGACTTGAAACCTTTTAAGCTAGCTATCTTTCATCAAACCAGTTCACCAGAGGTTTGCCAGTCACATACAAATGCAGCTGACCGACATGTACAATACACCTTTGCTTACTTTTCCACAGCTGTATCTCATATGCTAAAGGACTGACTTGTTAGATCACACTACCCCCCCCCCCCAGTGGTCTCAGACTCTTCAAATGCCACAACTCCATTGTGACCTTCAGATTCTGTCCTCCTTGCATCATTATCGACTCTTAGTGGGAGAACTCTGTCGACCAATGATCTGGATGCATGGATGTTGGCAGTTGATCCTCTTGAGAGTGAGGTCAAGGTGATATCATACTCATGAACCTTCATAACAGCAGCAAAAATCCAACAACTTTTCCTAGATGCAGTAACTCGCTTGGACAACCATCTTCCTCTAGTAAGTACCTCTTCTTATAATTTATACATTCTTTGAATTGTAGAAAATTATATTTTACTTCAAACTCAGAAGTATTTTTAAATGAAAATAGCATCAAAATTTCTTGTTCATAATCTACTCTCTATTTTTTTTTCCAGGTGAACTGTAAATACTTTTGAACAATTTTGGATCAGTCCACCAAACAGGAGATTCATTCAAGATGTGGATTATAAGTTGTAATGGTTGTGGTTAAGCAAAGAAATAACCACGCTGTACACAGTGTGTAAAAAACAACGACAACAATCTTTAACACTAAAGACAGACACCGTGTGTGTGTGTGTGTGTGTGTTTGCTTTGGGAACAATGAATGGTTGCTTCTTCTCGTAGTTTTCTCTTGTTGGTAAAGATTAGAATCAGACTAATTAAATGCAAGGTTTCTACCTCCAAAAAACCTTACATATATCTAGTGAAATATGTGCTACCACGTGACTGGTCATTTTTATTCCACATAGATGAGGCGTTAACCTTTAGATTTACATGTAAAATAATTGAAGTACACTGCTATCGACTTCCTGAAACAAGATCACTGTAAGAAATGCTCTTTGCAGAAGATATTACCAACTTTGAAAATGACAAAGAAACCAAAGTAACTTGAAACAAGATTAACTTAATGGTTTTCTTGACCATGTGTTATGAAAAAACCTGTACATATTCAGTACAAACAATACACTTAGAATATATAATAATACAAAAAAGAAAAACCTATGGTATGTTCCTAAACCACAACCAAAAAAAGAAGTTTGAGCAAACCAATTCAAGTTCTCTTTAATGACTGTTGTGGTATCTATCCTTGACCTGAGGCTATTATACAAACAGATCCACGATTATCTATATCTAGAACTTCTGATTTTCGGTTTTAACCGATAAACATCGATAAAATACCTCTGATACAAAAAAGAAGAAAGAGAAATCGGTGTTTCTTCCAATAAACACTTTCCCGAGTTACTGTGCTCGCGAGATTTAACCTTTTTCATACGGACTGTGCTGCCTTGGGATATTACTTTGAATAAATTGTTTGTTTGTTTTATAGTAAAGCCACATCGGGGAATCGAACCCCGGATTTTAGCGTTTTAAGTCCGTAAACTTACTTTGAAGGAAGGGTAACACGTTTCGTCTGTAAGTGTTAAGTTTTTTTTTATAATTTCGTACTGACTGCTCTTACAAATCTTTAACATAACTATAACTAATTCAAATATCTTCTAAGTACTGTTCATAATATTGCATTTACAAGTTTTCGGTTTCATTTAAACCATCCTCAGGCAACGATTAAATCATAGTTTCAGAAACAAA